AAGTCCTGGACGCCGACAATTTGAGCACCGTAACCTAGAGTGACATTAATGTGCGAGTGCCGTTGCGGACACACACCTCAACTGTCGACCTCTGAGTGAATAAATCCTGTAGCCATAATTCAAAGGATTTTGAATGGTTTGATATTAGTTTCGTTTTTTATTGTGATTCTAGCAGAGCAATACAGGGAAGTGGTTCAAATTTGTTAGTGCCCGTACTTAAGCGTTTGTATGTTTCATAGGCGTGCGTTTTAAGATATTTATACAGACCACAGTTACAATTAGAAGAAACACAAGGTAGTTATTAATCCTAGGATTAATTGATCATTCAAGTTATCAAGTTAATTATTCAAGTTACAGTTATATACTTTAATTATTATAATACTTCATTAGAATAAATATAGCCGCGGTTTGAAAATGAAAGAAACAAGCAAGATTATTTTGAAGTGTTACTTATGTATGTACAATGGTGATTACAAAGTACATTCAATTGCAATTATAGTTACAATTAATTACAATGAACAAAATCAAGAGTTATATGGGAGATCAAGGTATAGTTAATAATTCTTTAGCCTGTTATTACTATGTACAATTGAAACTATTTGAAAAATAAAACAAAGAGTTCGCCTGTAGGGTAGTGACCATGACCTGAATATATATTGAATGGTGACCCACACCTAGGAGGAGTAGTTAAATGTGCCTTCATCGTAGGGGCAAGGCGTCCCTTCCCCAGAACAGCTCTCGTGGGCCCATAAACCACATGTGGAACACTTGACCCATTCATCGAAGTCTCTGTCTGAATTGTCGTCAGGAATTCTCCTGAAGCATACTATACAACACTGAATGTCATCCGGATTGAACTCCTCCACGGGCCTCTGTTCCTGGGCTTCCGGCTTTCTTTTTAATGACGCCCTCTGAAAATTGTGAAACTAAGAAGAGAAACTATGAGGCAGCAGGCCTCCTTCTACAAACAGACCTTCAGCTAGTCGAATCGGAGCGTAGTTTGGTGGACGACCTGTCAAAGACAGTTCCACACGACGAGCTAGCTGAGGGCGACTCGGAGTTGCGCGATAAAGAGCTTATTCGGATGACGCCTCAACATCCATATTCTTCAACATTTCGATGAAATTCTTCATCTGCTGCTGCGCTCCCTCATGCGCTACATTTGATAACGATATCATCTTCAAACGCAATCCGGCGCTAACCTGGAACAATTTATGAATGAATGTGTAACACCAGCACCCGGTACCTAACTGACTGACAGATTCGTATTCTTGTAGCAATTCCTTGTTGGTGTCCAGAATATCAGTGGTAGCACGGCTTTGGTACAGTCGCTCGTTTTGCGGTGGTGTTTCGTCCACGTACATAGCTCCATCCCCGGAGTTGTCCGTTGTGGTCGTGATTCTTCCTCTTGCTATTTCTTCAGCTGTGACCGATGAACTCCGCTCCGCTACAGTCGTCAACATGCCTGAAACGGCTTATTATCAACACTATAGCTTACTTTGGAAAGAAATACGACTCACCCTCAGGAGCATAAAGTATTGCGGCATGTATGTGAGCGCACGAGATTCCGGCTCTTGCGTCCTGAGGTCAATCAGTGCACTTGCTGCAGTGATTGTTAATCTAAATGAACCACAGTAGTGCTAGAAAGGAGGGGAGACTTATTTCGTTGTTACCTTGGAGTCACACAAACAAAACTGTTGTTCGACATAGTGCACTCCCCTCCTGTCAGTTACCGTCCAGAGGCCCTCCTCCAATACACTTATGTCTTCTTGATTGCTTCCAAACAATTTAACAGCGAGCGCGTGCGCGCGATGGTTTTGAGTCAGTCTGTATCGGCCGGCACGCAACCCTCTTGCCATCTGCCAAAAATAGAGTCCATAAGATTGCAAGTAAAAAATACTACCGAAACTGCATTACCATGATCCTGCGATCTTCTGAATAACGTGGAATGAACACAGCAGTTTCTGCGCCCTTGACTGCGGGAACACCTTAACGAAACCGTTGTAGAAGGAATTGCAGTCGTCGCTCATAAAATACTCTGTGTCAAAGCAAGGTAGCAAGGTCTTCACTTCTTTGAACAGGGACGCCACCTCATCTTCGGTCATTCTGAACTAGGCAAATTCCTTAAATAAATGGAAATGTGCACGGAAACAGAGCAGAGCCAAGCTACAAACCGATTGGATAGGAGGTAGGCAGCAGGTAACCCCCTATCCCACTCGTCCACGATAATGACCGTTGCCAGCCTCAGGCAATACGATGTCAAATTGAATGTGTCGTCCATGCAGATGGTACGAGCTCCGTAGGCAAGCCATGATTCTTGAAGTGGTGTTATTATCACTGGAACAACAATCATATACAACAGTTAATAATGTCTCCAACCGTATTTCTGCTTCTTACCCAGACTGAAACCTTCACCAGTGTCGTTGACTGCCGGGGTATAGACCCTTATCCCATCTTCTGGCGCCTTTTCCGGAACCCGCATCTCAACAGATCTGATATCCACATCATCTCTTCTGGACGGATCCATTGTTCCGGATGCCAATAAGCCTTATGTCGCTGTACGAAGCATAGTACAGGCGTAAATGGGTGTCATTTTCGCGACATTCGGCACGAATTTTCTTTAAGATTTGGTGCGGTCCGAATCCTTCTCGCAAGAGGGAGACTATGTACTGTTCAGATTTGGGATCTATGGATAAAACAGCAGGTTGTACTTCGTGACCGCAGTGACTGCGGCAAAACTTCACTTTAATGTTATTTCCGGTTTCGGTAACCTAAATGTCCTACGTGAACGATTGCAAATTCACGTCGACATAGTAGGAGAGCAGAATACCTTCATTGCAGTGCAGCAATCGGCAGTCTTTTTAGAACCTGGGTGTTGGACGTTTTGATAGGCGCGAGATGGCCTTGCACGACTGCAGCGTATGTACGTCACTGATCCGGCCGTGAGCTTTCTGCGAGTTACTGCCGCGAACCTCGTAACGGAGTTTCAAGCTGGTTTTTCCACTCCTGAAATTGAGTGCAAAGTGTTCAATGAAACAGACTAAACTTTACTTTGACCTACTTCGAACTGGGCCCTGTCGTCGAATGTGGCCGTCTCCACTATATATTGATTCTCCGGAGTGGCATGTTCTTCATTAACATAGCTGAACAAACCCCAATGGTTCTGAAGCATCAATTATGATTCCAGAGCCACTCACCACGGAAATGTGAGCTAGTGAAAGACCACTTACCGTTACCTGCTTTTCACATAATGGACACGAAGAATATAGGTGCGCAGGTTGCTCCTCGGGATTGTGAACCTTGTCCTTCTTGTGTCTAACGAGGGCCTCCTTGTTTGTGTAGGGTAGCCCACACACGTCGCAGTGTATGCTTCACTAGCAGATGAGAGCACTTTGAATGTACGCTTCTGCTTTTTTAGGCACTGTATGTCATCCTTTGAGTATGAATGGGCGTTGAAGAGATGACGGTGAAGGTCTCTTCCCATAGCGGCTCCACATTCAGGGCAGATGCCTTCCACTGCTGTAACAGATAGTTACACTTTCCCTAAGTGTCGTTGCAAATGTGCAAACCTACCTGCGAAATTTCCCTCGGAGTGTAATTCTCCATTATTGCAAAATAGCGGAACGTATGCAAGTGTGGAAACGTGTTCACAATTGAATAACAGACGATGAACGGTTAAAGGCACGCTCCACGATTGAGCGCGCTTGCCTCTTCCATCCATGGGGTAGTAGGCAGGAGGACAAGTGTTGTTTTTGCACCCCTTTTGCCGCTTGAAAGTGCGCG